ATATCCTCAGTATGCAGAGCTATCATACAGCATTGCTCTATAAGAGTACTAACAGATATGTGACGCTGTTGTTGACCACATATAAAAAAACTATTTACATCTTACTGATAAAAACAAATCAAAGAGCGCTGGGAGCACGAATTAACAAGTTAACAAGCCAACAGTGTAGCCAGGTTTTAGTCTGGAGGTAGAAACCTAATGCCTGAAAAGTTACCAATCCCCTTGTTATGTTGAGAAAAACAGGAAACTAGCCTTTGCTTTCTATTCCCAAGTTCATCTAACCTGGAACTTTGCTAGAATTGCTTTTCCTTTCAGAAACAGGGTTTCTGCCAGTCTATTACAAGCTTGGTGGCCCATCTGGTCTAAACTGATCCACTTATAAGCACTGTGGATTTTTTTTTTCATACATACACAAAAATATAAGCATTACGCTGGCTAATATACAGCCATGGTTAAACAAAAGTACACACAATGATTGAAAAGCTCTTTTATTTAGTAACTGCTTTCTGTATGACTTTATCAATCTCTCACATGTTTGCTTGCTTTGATCATTAATGCCACGTAACAGACACACAGACTGATGGGCAATAACAACTGTTGATAAGGTTCCTCTGTGGCATTGTGGTAACACAAACCTGAATACGCTTAACAACAAGCTGCCAAATGTTTCTTTTATAGTGGTCCTCACTCTTGATGCACTTCTAAGGAAGTCAAGGAAATCAAGTACATTTGTTTAGCAGGGCCTTGCTGCTTTTACCCTCTTAGTTCCTGTATTAACAGTGACAGTGTACTTTTACTTCTTCAACATTTTACTCAGTAGCCTGCTGTTGCCTTTAGCTGTAAAAGCTATAAAAATAGCTCAAATAACTACATCAGTTTCAAAGGGAATAAAGGATTTGGCAAATATACTGTAATTTACAATGAGTTTAGCTGTTCAGGTGATATTCGACTACCTCCAGACACAAATTCAGGACTAACAGAGGTAAGATGAGTAAAGTAAAGCTAACTGTGATTTGGTGCTTCCTCTCTATTAAATGTTGTAAACATGAAATAAACTACCTGGTACCATGAGAAATTCTCAATCATTTCAATTTGACAGAAGAAAAAAAAGAAAATACCTTTTTCACACTTTTACAGTTGTGTCAGTCAGGTTAGCTAGCGTGATAGCACTCAGGATAGCCATGGCATTGCAGTAGTATTCACAGTATTCTGTATGATAACAAGTGTGTGCCGGCTGCTAATGAGCACCACTTCACCTGCAAGCTAATTGGAGCTAATTACAGCTCCACAACCCTGGTGGCAGCACTTTTAGGAGGAGAATGACACTAGCGCTGACTCTAAACCACAGCGGCTAGATTTTGGCTAAAACTGTCACTCTTAACAAAGTAACAAACTTGTTACCAGCACTTTTCTGTAACAACTTGATGAGAAGAATTACACTTTTATAGATAGCAGCAATCAACAATAACAAAAGCAACAAAAAGGCCTTTTAACAGTCCTTTAATAGATATTTCATATTGCATTCTGTTATTCACTGTAGCAAAAAATGCTGATGAATTCAATAGGGAAGCACTGAAAAGCAAACACTTTAGGTAATTGCATGCAAATGAAAATGTGTCACCGCAGTAAAGGCGGTTTAAATGCTCCAAAAACAACACAGCAACATCCTTTAAGAAAGAAACAAAACAAATCAAAGCCAGGCTGCCTATTTTAAAACAGCTTCCAGGAGCCCGCTCTCTCTTCGGCTAATGAAATATCTAAAGCACTTAGTTTCCTTTAGTTAGCACCTGCCTCCTTAGAGGCATGTTCCTCCTCTCCAAGCTAAATTACTTGGTCTCAGTGGAGCGAGACAGAGTGCGGTAACAAAGAGGAGAAGTCGAGTGTATTTTCAAAAAAGGGATGACGCGCTCGTGCTGGAGAGCTGAGGTGGCAGACAATAGTGTGCTGGCAGATCTCACAGTGAACTGAGCAGACAGGTTACAGCGTGCTACACCGGGCCTGTAAAGCCACTTTAACCACTTTCCAAATCCCTCACTTTCCCTCAGTGCTGCCGCTGGTACTAACAGCTCAAAAGTGCATCATAACCAAACCTTCCCCTACCAAAATACTCCGCAAAGGTTTGTTTTTGGTTTTTTTGGGTTTTTTTTACAATGCCTACTCTCTGTGGAATGAATTATACATCTGCAAAACAGTCATCTGAAAGTTGGAGGTTCTGGGCGAGGGCGTGCAGTTAAAATGAGGAATTGTGAGGTGCATTTCCACGTCAGTAAAAATGCCACATCTGTATATGATTTGCATGCTTGTTCTCTTCTTCCACTCCTATGTTTAATAGACTTCCTGGCAATGCAGGACTCAGTGGCCAAATAAAAAAACAGGATGTATGGTGACAAGAGTACGAGAATTAAGTAAGTAAGCTAAAAGATCTCACAAAGCAACAAATCATGCCACCACATAATGAAAAAGCTGACATACTTTTATTATCAGTCTGAAAAGAGCCATTTCTAAGGCTTTAGGACTCCAGTATTGAAGTGACTGGCCTACCAAGATTCCTCCAAGAGTCTACTGATGACTCATCAGGTCACAAAATAACACAGAACAATACTTAAAGACCTGCAGGCTTCACTTGCCTCAGTCAAGTTCAGAGTTCATGATGCTACAAGAATCACACCAGCAGTCAAACATGGTGGTAGTGTAACGGTCTTGGGCTGTTTTGTTGCCTCGGGACCTGTTAGACTTGCCATAATTGAGGGAAACATGAATTCTGCTCTGTATCAGGAAATTCTGAAGGACAATGTCCAACCATCATTGTGCTCTGAAGGTGTTGGTTGCATTTGGGTTATCCAAGTCCACCTCTGAATAGCTCAAAAAGAAACCAAACAAAATAAGATGCTTTGGTATCACCTTAAGCAGTCTGTTAATACTTTTCAGTCTGAATTATAACAATTCTACAAAGAAGAGTGGGCCAAATTTCCTCCAAAGCACTGTGAAAGATTCAATGCCGGTTATCACAAATACTTAATTGCAGCTGTTGATGCCAAGGATGGCACAACCAGTTATTAGGTTTAGAGGGCAATTACTTATTAACATAGTGCCGCAAGGATAATAAGTAAGCAAAAAAAAAAAGAAGTCAGGAAGGGTGTAAACAGTTTTTCGCAGCACTTCAACTTTAACTCTATGTAGACCAGTGTTTCCCAACCTTTTGGAGCCACGGCACATATTTCACATTAGAAAAATCACACGGCACACCACCAAACAAAAATGTCACAAAAAGGATATTGATCATTTTCCCCCTGTGCACCAGGCACAGTGGAATTGGTTTGGTTTGTCCCCAGTATACTTTTTTTGCTTTCTTTTGACCACTACCTCATGCCAGGGCTTCATCTGGGTCGGAATTTTCTCCAGGATCCAGGTCAGATTGACTATGTTTTCTTTTCAAATATTTATCTATTTATTTATTACACGCTTTGTCATCTCACTCACAGCATGACTATTATGTAATTTCTTCTTCGTCTTCTTCTGTTTTATTGGCAGTTGGCAACCCATTTAATGAGAGCAGGTAGTTGTACTGCCCTCTAGTGGAAGAGAAAGTAATCAATCTGCCTGTTACTAATCAGGTTGAACCAGATAATCTTCCACGGCACACCTGATTATTTCTCATGGCACACCTATCCACAGTGGTTGGGAAACAATTATGTAGACAAATCTAGACACGATTTAAGGTAAGATTATTTTTTTTTTAATTTTAGGAGAAATCTAGTGCATATGAAGCCATGTGCTTCATTCCTCCCAACTTAAAATAAGTCACTGCTGATTATGGCTCCATATATGTCTTCGACCACATTTTTGAAAGTAAAATTCTTCTGATTAATACATTGCAAAACCATATCTACCTTCTCTTCTACCTGCTCTTCATTCTACTTATTCTGCATTCTTCTATTTTATGAGAAAAGGGTCCATGAGGCACGGTGGTTAGCCCTGTTGCCGCACAGCAAGAAGGTCCTGAGTTCAATTCCACCACTAGGCCGGGGTCTTTCTGTGTGGAGTTTGCATGTTCTTATGTGGGTTCCCTCCGGGTACTCCGGCTTCCTCCCACAGTCCAAAGACATGCAGTTAGTGGGGATAGGTTAACTGATCAATCTAAATTGCCCATAGGTGTGAATGTGAGAGCGAATGGTTGTCTGTCTCTGTGTGTTAGCCCTTTAACAGACTGGCAACCTGTCCAGGGTGTACCCCGCCTCTCGCCCTATGACAGCTGGGATAAGCTCCAGCACCCCCTGCAACCCTGAAAAGGATAAGTGGAAGCGAATGGATGGATGGATGGATAAAACTGTGCACATCTTTATAAATTACAGTCCTCCTGATTCAACCTGGTTTAGACTTCAGCATTTAACCATAAACACTCAAGGAGTCTTTGCACATTTTTATACTTTGATCCTTCCAGTCCCATTGTATCAGGCTCCACCACAATACTATCCACAACTTTACCAAATGATCGTGATCTATCCTGGCACCATCACCAAGGGATACCATGGAAACTAAGCTTGAATTGTAACATTTTTTATTTCCTTTTATTCACACTGCACACTGGGTAAAGACAAGCCAAACTTCCTTTCTGGTGTGTTTCAGCTGAAAGAGTCTGGCTGGTGTCTTCATCTCAGCTCCCCCTGTTTCCAAGAAAGGGTTTACAATGCAAAAGTTTTGTAAAAAACAAAAACAAAACAAAAAAAAAAGGCCATCAGTATTCAAAGAAAATTAAAGAATTACACAATCGGTGTTTAGACAGTGAGGGGAAATCTATAAGCAAGTGAGCTGTAACGATCAGGCCCTGGACTGGTTGTCATTACAATGATGGATTCTATTCATGTCACCCATCATCGACTCAGTTTAGAGAAAAGAAGAAACGTTCTTTTAGCTCAGCGTTTGGGGAGATATGGAATATAAATCTAAGCTATTTGTTGGTGCAAATCTGTTAGCATGAAAAAGTCATGAGGGCCACTCACCGAGCACGCCGAGCCTGTAGTTCATGGTTACCACGATCACGTTGCCGTAGGCGGCGAGGACGCTGGCATCAAACATGTTTCCTGTGCCTTCCATGTAGGAGCCGCCGTGAATAAACAGCATCACCGGCTTCTTCCTGCGGTCACGGATATCTACATGCACAAACAGGGAAAAACAGAGTGTGAAAGAACAAAAAGTCAATGACTGCATTCACAGTTATGATTAGACATTGTGTTAGACCATAGTATATGGAACAAACTGCAGCGTGATGAAAACACAGCACTGGATCAGTGCTGCATTACTTCCTGCGGCTGGATGCCAACCTTTAAAAATGGGCTTGAGCTCATTTAGATTTCAGCCAATGATTCTAACAACAGGCAGTAACGAGAGGCGCCACCGTGAGAATCTTGTCAAATGTTTCCTGGTGATTAAAGCGAGAAAAAAAAGGCTTGAAGAAAATTACCAGCTACTGTAGTGCTTCACATTAGAGCCTGTCGTGCATCAGTCTTTACTTCACACTGAGGCCCAGATTGACTAAAACTGATGCAATTCCTAGCGCAGTGCAAAAGCATCTGTGTGTGCAACTGAAAATTGATGGCAGCCTGAGGCAATTAGTTTCAACAGAGAATGTCCAGATAAATTCACAGAATATCTGCACAACAGCTCTTATGATGGGGTAGCTCAACGTGTTGGTGTCAGAGTTCACCCCAAAGAGCTCTCTGCTGCAGAGAAGAGATGTTTAACACTGTTCAAACAGCCACTCTCTAGTAAACACACTCAAAGCAATGTGGCACAACATACACAAGGTAAAAAAGAAGGTACCAGGATGACACTAGGAAACATATCAAAGCCGGGCCCCAAAGGAGTGGAGCTGATGTCTGTATACTCCCCTCTGAAGAGCATTCAGTGCGCAATCAACACAAAATAAAAGGCCACTGGCTCTCAATATATCATGTGTGCAATAAATTTCCATAATTTCCTCATTTTATTTTGCACCTTGGAACTCGGAACCCCCATAAATGCAAATTTCAAGTCGCCTTGAGCTGCAGAGACAGCTATAGAAACCTATTTCTAGGTCAACTCCCCTGTGTGGAATCTCTAGAAGAACACAGTTTTCTTGGACGCTATCATTTTGCACTGGCACAAATTGTTGGTGGGTCCCGCCTGGAGGTGAAAAATGGAAAGATAGCTAAAAAGTTACCCATGAAAATGTTACGCAAGAACATTAGAAAGCAAAGTTTAGCTCCAGAGTTGCTTCCCGTAAAGTTTTCTGTATTAATTTTACTGAAAATAAGTATAAATGTGCAAACTGGAGGCAGGATCTGTCTATTATTAGCTATAGTGATTTAAACTAAGTTGTGGGGATAGGTTAATTGCCACTAGGTGTGAGTGTGAGTGCGAATGGTTGTCTGTCCCTGTGTGTTAGCCCTGCGACAGACTGGCGACCTGTCCAGGGTGTACCCCGCCTCTCGCCCTATGACAGCTGGGATAGGCTCCAGCGCCCCCTGCGACCCTGAAAAGGAGAAGCGGATGGATGGATGGATTTAAACTAGTGTTGCCTGGACAACACTAACTTAAATAATAATGCTTAAAAATGTGAAAACAAGTACTTAAAAACATATTCTCTGCAATATATTGTAAACATGAATTTCTGAGGCAAGCTGAAGGTATTCAGTTAATGTAGACCTACTGTGTTATTTATTTCCTTATTTTCTCTTATATATAATATTTGATGATATATACATATAATATACTGTTACAGTGGTGGATGCTCATATTAAACAAAAAATACAAACAATGACACAGTGATTTCTCTACCACTGGCTTGAGGGCATGGCCTGCCTCCCAAACAGAACACTTCTTTGACCCCACCCACTTTCTGTTCAGATCTTTTGTTTGTAAAGGGTAGCCAATCAGAGGAACGTTGGAAAGGTAGCAAAAATGGTTAGTTTCAGACACTGGATGAACTGACAGGTTGCACCAAGACCTGGTAAAAGATGAATAAAGGCTATTCTGAACCATAAAACACTTAAAGCTACTCCAGTGGAGTCTAATTATAAAAATATGAAGCTGAAAAAGAGCATAACAGGTGCCCTTTAAACTCTATGGTTGCTCAGGGAAGCTATGATGATAAATTCTGGCATCCTCCACTAAGAAACTCATGCAGCTCATTTCAGAAAGCATCCAATGTCAGTCCTGAGAGTTTTCAGCATACGCCCTCTCCTGCAGCGCTGTGCGTGCACGTAGGACGGTCCCCGATGGGCCCTCGTTGGCCTTTGAACCAGTCTCCTAGCTGACTGTGAGCAGCGTCGCTCCTGCCTGCCAGGAGCCTACGGTAGCATATGGTACAGAAGACTCAGAGGAGTGGCACAGTGACAGCAGCCCCTGTTGGCTTCTGTTTGTGTGTCTGCGAGTGTGTGTGCGTGCAGGCCTGAGGATATGAGCAAACAGTAGTGGCGAATAACCACATAAATAACCACTACTGCATCTATTATAGAAGGCAGGAGAGATGGAGGGCGTGCGGCTCTCTTTGAAAGCTGCTTATATATATGTAGATGCTGTGTTAAGTACACAGACGTATGTAAGGTGGCTGCAAATGTAGCACCGTAAATCTCCAGTGATAGACTAGGGTGTCACAGACACATCCATACAGAGCTATGGCGCTAAAACCAGCGCATCAGTCAGGCAGACACACTCACACCGGCGAGAGAGAAATTCACAGGCAGTTGCAATGGAGAAGTCGCTATGGCAACTGCTCCACTTTGACTTGTTTCCGCCTCTCCTGCCTCTCCCTCTCACTTGGACAAAGTCTCATTGACTGTTGCTGTGGCAACATATTGCTGTCCTGCATGCCTAACCCCATGATGCCCTTCGCCGTGCTTCTACCTGCATGTCATTTCATTAGCAGCGAATGACCACATGCGCACCTCCTACATGCATGTTTCTGCATTCTGCTGCAGCGGCATCGAGGGACAGAATGCAGATGCACACGCACACAAACCCACAAGATGCAAACACACACACACACACGCACAAAGCAGACTGTCACAGTTGACCTGTAGACTCGGCGTCCACGGATCAGTTACAGGGCGAATCGTTGTGGCACAGTGACTGATAGGACCGAGGCCCTCAAGGGTAACAAGCTCTTCTCTCTTTCTCTGTCTTTCTCTGCCTCTGGCTTTGTTGTGTTTCTACCACAACTAAAGCTTAGCGTGCGATGCCCACAGATGGGCTGGTGGTTAGCTCTCCACCCTCAGCTTCCATACTCGAACCACATGTGGGTTGAAAAAAATTCAATCATTCATCAAAGCGTGCAATCATGCTTTAAAAATACTTTTTGCATAATTTGTTTCTCTTCAGCTATTTTGTTGACAATGTGAACAGGTGCTGCACGACAACAGAATGTCCCATACCATGGAGGCAGCTGGGGAAATGGGATAGTGTCCACGTATACATACAAAGCCTCGACAAATCCTTAACGTCCATGTTTATAATGGGCAGATGGTGAATAGTCTCACACAGGCATGAGCTAAAGGAGGGGCTTAAAGCTGACTCATTTGTTTTACACTAACGTTTGCATGTTCGACTAAAGGAATTAAACGGAGTAGATTTATAAAACAGGTCAACACAGCCACTGTACGGGGCGACCGACTGAGGTTTACTCGCGCTTTGTTTCATGGCTTTTATGGCTTTTCAGAAGTGTGTGCTCCATCTCTGCTAAAGTATGTAAATATTTCCATTTCAACAGGGAACAAAATCATAAACTTTTTGCTCAACTGCCTTAATCTGATAACAGCTATAGGCCACAGCTGTTTAACAGCATTTGATATTTTTCATATGATTTGTAATACTTTTTCCGTATAAGCCCTCAGTGAATTATGTAAGTAACCATCTACAGCTGGTGTATAATTCCAAATGATTATATGTGTATTTCAGACCATAGTAAAAACTTTTTCTTGCAAATATCTTTAAAAAAAATAGTAATTTTCATTTAATATTTCAAGGGAAAAAAGTAAAAAGTTCCAAGTTTCTATTTTTTCCCCTTTTTTCCTCCCACAGCTGATCCACTTCATATCAAGTAAGACTTTCTGTGTTTTACTTTTAGCTTATTATTAGTTTGTAGCTTTTCAACTTCACATACAAATGATTTAGCATTAGAGGGACCTTTTGCTTATTTTAACCTCTATTTTTTAATCTTAGACTATGCTAGAGTAGAGGGCGCAGCACTCCAGCTTTCCCTCTGAAATAAAATGTATTAACAGCCTGCTCTCTTCAGGGCCTCGCTCCCTTTATGGCAGTTTTTATCTGATTGGCCTTCCCTTGGAAACAGAGGGTTTGACGGCATATGGGAGAGAGGTCTCTGCTCAACGCTTTGCTCGAAGTTTAGCACTTGGCAGGCCGATATTGGCGAAACCATTCATCCATCCATTCTGTTCTGCTTATCCTTATCAGGGCTGCGGTGGGGCTGAAGCCTATCCTAGCTACCATAGGGTGAGAAGCAAGGTGCACCCTGGACAGATCATCAGTCTGTCGCAGGGCTGACGCACTGACCATCTCTCACTCACACTTGTTAAGAATCCCCAATTAACCTAAACCCACTTACTGCATGTCTTTGGACTGTTGGTTTTCACAAACATGGACGTAATTATTTGAAACTCTCTCCCTGTATGGTCATGGCAAATACTTGAAAAATCTCTTAATAATGTAACATTTGCTTTTATGTCATTGTGGAATAAATGATGAGGGTCTTGTCTTCGCGGTTATTGTAGTCATTTTTGTACAAAAACTGAGAACCTTGAATATTTGATGGTTCAGCACCTCAAATGCAGGCTGACAGCTTAACAGTCTAAAAGATGTCAAACTCAAGGACAGGGCCAAACCCGTCCTTTAAGATCTCAGCAGGTTTTGGCCCTTCGGTGTGTACGCAGCAACACACACCACACCGCAACTTTGCTTTCACTGTAAACTAACAAATTAGCTGACAGAGAACGGCACGAAAAGGAAAGTTGAAGATGAAGGCAGACAGTGCATCTTTAAAGAGAGGCCCGTGTATCCATTTACTACGAGTCGATGTCTACGTTCAAAGACACAATCTGCATTGTCACTTTGAATCCACGCAGCAGCTGAGATACAGAGCCAAGGATAAGAAACA